GTTTGTGCATGTGTGTGTATACATGTATGTGTGTTCGTGTGTGCTCACACATGTGTGTGCTATATGTGCATGTGTGTGCGTGTGCATGTGTGTGTAGGTTGAATATCTGATAACTAAATCCAAGGGCTTTTGAAATATTAAGGAGCAGAGCATATAGATTTGATTATTGCAAGGGAGTGATTTAAGAACCTGTCTTTTACTTGTACCTCATGAAGCTGTTTGCTCCATAAACCAGTTACATATTAAAAATGGTATTTATTACAGGAAGGAGAAGGGGGGGGTGATTCATGAAAGATTCAGTTGATAGATAATAGACTATAAACACTTTCATTTTTGTATTGATCTGGTGATATCCACTGAGCACTAAATATAAATTACCCTGAAAACGTGTTTGATGGAAGAATTCTTTCCTGGAAACTTATTTTTACTATAGTCGATCTACTGATAGTAAACATTTCAGATATTATGCTCTGCTCTGTAGCTTATCTTCCTACAGATTTTTTTTAGAGAAGGATGACAGTTGAAGCAATTCATAGTTCCAGCACAGGAGACTTTGAGTGGGGTTTGGTGGAAATGCATTTCATGACATCTGCTGTTACAAACATCAGAAATATTAAAAAATTCTACCTAAGTTATGTATTATTTTATTTACCTTTCAAATATTATTGAAGCCTTCAAATTGTGATTTAAGAGAAAAACAACATTTGGCCATTCAGATGATCAACATCTATTTCTCATACATACTTGGTTTCCATCCATAGTTTCTGGCTCACAGCTCCAGGTGTCTCTTCTTAAGTGAATGAGGAACCAACCATGTGATTAGAGGGTTGGAACTTGCAGTCCCACCCCCTGACCTCTTGAGGTTGAATCAGTTATCAGTGAGCAAGTCAGCCAATCATGCCGATGTCAGGAAGCCTGCAGAGAAGGCCCAGAAGGATGCACTTCCATGTTGGGGAAACAGTGCTTTCAGGTGCCACTTTGCCGGTCCCCAATCTTCTTGAGGACAGAGCACCTTTGTTCAGCACCCTGTTCTGCTTCTCTTCAGCTGGCTGTTGATTCATGTCCTTTAAATAAACTGGTGATCCAGTGAGGAAACAGGTTTCCTGAGTTATGTGAGCTTGTCTAGCAAATTAATGGATGTGGGAACCTCTAATTTAGAGCTCGCTGGGCAAGAAGCACAGTGGCCACCTGGACTAGCAACAGGCATTGGGAATGGCAGAGGGTGGTCTTGGGGGAGATCGAGCCCCTACCTGTACGACCTGATACTGTCTCCGGAGAGGCAGTCGGAACTGAGCTGAAGTCTCAGACTATGACAAGTTTCCATGATTTGCTGGTTGGTATGGGGAAGCCACCACATGCACACAAGGAAACAGGGTCCAGGAACCCGATGCAGCATCTTAAAGGGGTACCGCTGGGCCCACAAGGATGAAACCTGCCACCATCTTACTCTTAGCAGCTAAGACTAAGTTCTCTGACTCAAGACTACAGAAATGGCAAGCAGGCCAGGTGGAAAGTGTGGGAAGGGACCTTGAGAGGGATGTGCCCAGCAGGTGGAAAGTGGGGCTCTCTCTCTGCACTCTGAGAGCCCCTTGAACTTGAGTACCTTGCTCAGGCCAACGGGCCATGCAGAAGCCTGAGATTCCTCCTGCTGCAAAGTGGTGGTCGGGGTATTGGAGATCCCAAAATCCCATCAAACTCTCCTTACCCATCTTCCCAAGTGTGGCCTGCCCAGCTAGTGTGTGCGGCAGCCGAAGGAATGGCATGGGATGGCTGTTGCTGGGGTAGGTGGATAAATGAACTTGGAATCATGCTGACTCTCTATTCCTCCTTTAACAATCTACAAGCTTAATGTGCCACTTTAAATATGCAGGTGTCATGAAAGCCTCTGATGACTCTAGCTGGGGACCTACTTATGTTGGTGCCGGGCGGCTTGGGGACCTGAGATGAAGTGACTTGCACCCAGTGTAGCAATGCAACACGGTTACTCTGGGGGGAAGCAGACTTCTCAGAAGCTCCGAAGACTGCACAGAGTGCTGAAGGAGGAGAGTTCTTCCTCCCTTATTCAACATACATTTATTGATTGCCTACCATGTGCCAAGAACTAGTTTATAGCCGCAGAATGAAGCAATAATGAAAACAGACAAATTGTCTGCCATTACAGAACCTCTACTTTGGTGGAAGGAGACAGGGCAAAAGCAAATAAATGTATAACATGCTCGGCTAAAAATGTAATAAGGAAAAAGCATAGAGAAGTAGGAGTGGAAAAGGAGCTGGGCATTTCTACAGGGAGTGGAGAAAAGGCTCTTCTGAGAAGGTGAGTCAGAGCAGAGGACTGAGGAGGAGGGGAATGAGCTTGCAGATGTATGTGGAAGCACACTCCAGGTGGAGGGAACAGCAGGTACACGCCTTGCTATGGAGTGGCTGTGCCCTCTGTGAGGATGTGCAAGGAGGGCAGGTGGGCACAATGGAGAAGGTCAAGGCAGAGAGCTGGGAGGTAAGGTCAGAGAAGTGGCAGTGGGGTGGGGAATGGGTGGGCACTGTCCAGCTGAGCTGCTGCTCACACTGTCTGGGGCTGCTGCACATGTGTGGACACCCGCATTAGTGATGGGAGGCCATGGCAGTCTTTGGAGCAGAGACTTACCCTAGCGGCCCTGGTCTGACTAGGGGTTGGTTTAAGGAAGTAAGAAGACCATGAGGAGACCACTCTGGGAGAGTGGCATCCGATCTAGCCCTTAGACTAAACTGGACACCACAGTGGGGTTTGAAGGACTCTATGGCATGCTTGCAAGTTGTATCTTTCTCTTCCCTTTCCCCTAGAAACACATAGCTGTCCCTCAGAGGTCACAAATGTACTTAATCACTTTGTGTATATCTTGTAATCTGCTTTTTTCTTTTCTTTTTTTAAGATTTATTTATTTGTACAGAAGTGGGGTACAAGCCAGGGATGTGGAGGGTGAGAGGATTCACCAGAGACAGAGTGGGGGTACAGAACAGGGAGATTGATGAAGTACACTGCTGAGAGGAGCAGGGGGCAGGCCAGGAGAGGTCTGCCACACCATGTGGATCTCCTCCAGGGCAGGTGGGGATCGAACTCATGTGGAAGTGGCTTAAGCTTCTTTGTGCTGTGCTTTAACCCGCTGCGCCACCAAGGAGGGCCCATAATCTGCTTTTTTCATTCAACAATATAGTGCGACCATTTCCTCATACCAGTACATATTTTACCAAATATTTTTGTCACCATCCCTTACACCCCCTTGACCCTTCCTCTTCCCCTTTCCTTCTTAACCTCAGAAGCTCCTAAGTAACTTTTTCCAAGTCAGCGGCCAGGCCAGGCATGATTAGGTCCAGTTTATCTCCACACACACAGGCTCTGTGCAGGCATTTCCTGGATTCTGCGTCTACCATGTTCATCTCAACCCTGCAACAGAATCATTTGAGTATTTCACTTATTTTTCTTTCATATTCCATTATGTGATTATTAGTCTCCACAAAGCCGTCTTTGGCTTGTAAAATGTCTGTGGAGAGCAAGTTTAAATCCAGGAGAGCTGGGCCACGTGCCAGTCCACTCTGCAAACTTTGGCTTTGTCTAGGGCAGAGAGAGGTGAAGATGAGGGGGGTGGGGCACAGATAACATGTCCTAATTCTTTGATTGGGTGGTAGCAATCATTAAACGCGAGATTTGCCTTCTGCAAATCTGTGAGAAAGGTGCGGCATAGGGCTTCTTTGGTGAATTTTTTTAAAAAAGATTTATTTATTTATGCATACAGAGCTGGGGTACAGGCCAGAGGTGCAGGGGCGGTGAGAGGATTCACCAGAGACAGAGTGAGGAGCAGAACAGGCCGACTGAGGAAGTATACTGCTGAGGGGAGCAGCGGGTGGGTCAGGAGAGGTCTGCTGTGCCACGTGGGTCACCTCGGGGCAGGTGGGGATTGAACTCATGCTGAAGTGGCTTTAGCTTCTTAGTACACTGCTTTAACTCACTGAGCCACCATAGAGGGCCTCCTTTCAGTGAATTTTTAAGACGAGGGTGACGCAAGTCAAGGAGAAGGTGTGGGCACGTGGCCCCAAGGAGCTCTAAGTGTCCACCACTTAAGAGACTTAACAGCCGGGACAGGGCACTCAGGAGCCGGGGTGGAAGGTTAAACCTCTCCAACTGCGAAGGAAGAGCGGCAGGCTGGGCCTCCAGGGTTTGGAGGTGCTTTGCTGCCCGCATTGGCTACAAAATCGCTGGCTTAGCCAAGTGACGTTTACCTCCAGGTGCCACTGGTATCCACCTGGACATCTGCTGACGAGTCAAGTTTCACTAAACCCAAGTCCTTGGGACAAAGCCCAAAGCTACACTTTCGATCCTTCCCTCCACCCCCTTCCCCCCCACCCGCCCCCGGTTTTATTTTCGTCCTTGTGTGTTTCCTTTTTTTATTTGTAGAACCCTCCCCACCCCCCACGCCCTCGCACACCTCGGCCCTTCTCCCTGGCTCGCCAAGCTGCCTACCCTCCCCAGCGGCCGCTCCTTTTCCTCTCTGGGTGTCCCGCGCTCACTCCAAGCGCCCGACCTTCGCCATCCTCATCCTCCCTGTCCCTTCAGGCGCCGAGAAAACGTTTCCGCCCCGCCGTCCTTCGCTTTGGTGGGTCGGGGCTGTAGTCCCCGGGCCCGCTCCTCCGCGGTGCCCCCACCACGCCCCCGCAGCCCCTCCAGCGCCGCCCCGCGTCCAGCCCGCAAGGCCACCTCGGCGGCTTCCCGGGTGGCCCGGCCCTCAGAGGCCCCGCCCCGGACCAGCTCCGCCCCCGGCCGCCGCTCCGTGATTGGCTCCCGCCCCTCCTCCCCGGGCTCGGTGCCGCCACGGCACCCAATGAGCATCGACACCTGGTCCAAAATTCCCCGGAGCGGACCCGGGACGCCGCAAGCGCTAGCGCCCAGCGCGCGGCGTTGACGGCTGGCGGCGCCGAGCTGGGAGGGGACACGGAGGCGGGAGAGCCGCAGGCAGGAGGAGGAGCAAAGGTGTTGGAGAGAAAAGTTCGGAAAGGAACAGGAAACCTGCCGGGGAAGCAGCGGCGGCGACTTCTCTCGGCGCCCAGGCCGCGCACTCCGCGGTGTCCACCGCTGCGGCTTCGCTCCTGGTAGGCTTCTCCGACGCGGGGCCACTCTGCGCCCCAAATCTCCGTGCCAGCGGCCGCACTCTCGCCACTGCAGCCCGGCGCTCCCCTGCGCCTCTGCGGCGGCGGCTTCCCGAAGAGAGGACCGCCGGCTGCCGCGCAGCGAAGCGGAGGGACGCCTACTTTGGAGCATGAAGCAGCATGTCTGATAAAATGTCCAGCTTCCTCTACATCGGGGACATCGTGTCCCTGTACGCAGAGGGCTCGGTCAACGGCTTCATCAGCACGCTGGGGTAAGCGGAGGCTGCGGGTGTTGGCGCTGGGTCTAGTCCGAACCCACTGCACTGGGGGGTGGGGGGGGTGGCGGGGCCGTGCGGTCAGTTCTGAGCCCTCGGACAGCGCCGTGCGCTCTGCTGGCGCTCACGGGGCAGGAAGCTGCCCGGAGAAGCAAGACCTTCTCAGCAACTTCGTAATCTCACATTCGGAGACGCATCAGAAAAGGAGGAAGTGATTCAAAGCCTGAGACAGGCCCTGCAGAGAAGTCTTCGCGGGCTTCTCCAGGAGTGGTTTTCACTAAACTGTTTGTTTTGCCTTAAAGGTAAAACAAAGCACCGTTTACCCCATCTAGCCTGTTGGGCCTTTTAGCCCCTGTCTCTCAGGGCCAGGTCTGTCAAAGCAGCCAGTAAAAGTGCCAGGACTTGTACATGAAATTCAAGCCTGGTGGTGAGCCAAAAGTGTGGCTTCGCTCTGCGGGAGCACGTCGCCGGTCTTTGCTGAAGTAATTTCCTCATGGTCTTGCCACATTGGGCCTCTACCGGCCTTTGGGGGCAGCTCAGGAACCTTGCCTTGACCCTCTATAAGATCTCTTGGCCCATCCTGGGTCCCAGCAAGCAGATCTGCCCCTTCCCTTTTCCCAACCCTTGGGAACTCTCCTGGAACTCAGCCAGGTGCGGGATTCTGGAGACTTAATTTGATTTATGAATGGGGGAAATGTGTATGCAAATACAACAGTGTATGAGATTGTTACAGATGACTTCCTTGATTACTAGCGTGTTCTCTGTCCTGGTGTTGAATGCCAGTTAGCAGTTGTAATACACAGTCACCGTATTTTGGTGCACCATGAACTTAGCAATGATACCCACTATATTTTGGTGCACCATGAACTTGTGGTCCATACACTTAGACTCCCCAGCCATGGAGATTTCAGGCTGCAGGTGCTGGTATCTTAGTGCCTAGTTGGTGGGTGTTTTCTGCTGTTAGGTGTCAGGGTGCATGACTTCACATGCAGTGTTCCTGGACTGTGACAGCCAACCATGTGATAGCGGACAGGATAGCAGGGGGTGTGGAAGTCACCAAAACTCCCCTAGAGTTTGTGATTTGTGCCTCTTCCCTAATGGATGAAAGAAGGAAGGTGACTTACTTCCTGTAAGCTCAGTGTTAACTTACCTGTGAAACTGAAGCGTGGAAGTAAAAAGCAAGCAGTTCAAGTGCTTAGGCTATTTGTGAATCAAATCATTAGTTACCCTTTGTTTTGGAGAGAAGTTACAGTAAGACTTTAGTTTTTGACTTCTACTCCCCCCCCATACCCCCAGTATTTTGCAGAGAAACTGCATTTTTTAGTTCTCTGGGTTTGTGTAACATGGTGGCTGGCCAAGAGGGGGGTCCAGTATCAGCATACTTAGGGGCAAATCCCAACTTCTTCACTTGTGAAACTTATGACCCTGGGCAAGTTACATAATCCAGCATCATCACTCCTTTGGGGACTAGGGGCAACACTTCTTGCACTTGTGGACACAAGAATCAAAACAATTAGGAACAGTGTCTAGTACCTGGACAAACAGGGGTCACAGTTCTGTAGTGCCCTTTTCTGCAAGGTAAATGTCGGGTACCTGGATATATCGGGGCTCTAGGTGGTAAGTCAGGAAATGACACTGTAGTCATGTACTCCCATCTTCCCATCTGCTCATTTTAGAGATGGAGGAACTAAGGGGAAGAGAAATAAAGCCACTTATCCAAGGACACTGACATCCAAAACTGCCTAGGACCCTCTCTCCAGACTCTTACTGGAGTGTGTTTCTCCGGTTACACATCATAATCTTTAAACTTGACCTCTAATTAGCAGAACCATTTATATAAACATATCTCATATTCAGTGTCTCCTGCAGGTGTTTTGAAAGTTGAGTTTCCTTAGAATGTGTGCAGTATTAGTTTTCTGTTGACAGACTCAGTTTTGTTGTTATTAGACTACAGGAGCTCTTCGCAGGTAGATTCTAAGGTGAGGAGGAAACTTGAGAAATGCTGGTATTGGTGGCATTTGGTGCTTTGATGGGGTATTTTATGTCTTTAATCCTTGGGCTCATATTGCCCTCAGACTTTTTAGAATTTGTTAATCTGGAAGGAGTCTATGTCGATGCCCTATGAAATGTTATAGGCAGAGTAGCACCAATGACTTAGCTTAAAATATAAATGGTGGCTATTTTATTTTGCAGCTTGGTTTCAGGATTATGAAAATTAAAGCAGCATTGTATTTATAGCTTTTCATTATATTGTTGTCAGGTAGTTATTTATCCACTTTCTGTATGAAAGACAGTGCCTACTTCTGGGTGAATGTCCTTGTTCTTCTGATAGTTGGAGGTTTGTTGTGCTGGGTCTGCTTAATACCTTGGACCTTGTTTGTGTTCTTTATTCTCTTTTGTGTCCATTTGTCTCTTGGAAAACTGAGGAGAGTTTATTCTGTGTCCATCCTCCTGGAATATTATAAGCTTAAATGAAAAAAGACAGAAATGCTTATCACTTAAATTTAAATGCTTATGACTTAACTTAAATTTCTTCAAAAGATGTGTGCATTGTTCCACTGAATCAGAGGACTGGATTGGAGATAAGGCATTATATACATATATATATATATATATATATATTTTAAAGATTTATTTATTTATTCATACAGAACTGGGGTACAGGCCAGAGATGCGGAGGGTGAGAGGATTCACCAGAGACAGAGTGGGGAGCAGAACAGGCCGATCGACGAAGTACACTGCTGAGGGGAACAGCGGGAGGGTCAGGAGAGGTCTGCCTCGCCATGCGGATCTCCTCCGGGGCAGGCGGGGATTGAACTCATGTGGAAGTGGCTTAAGCTTCTTAGTGCAGTGCTTTAACCCACTGCACCACCAGGGAGGGCCCACATATATATTTTTTAAAGATTTACTTATTTATCACACAGAACTGGGGTACAGGCCAGAGGTACAGGGATGGTGAGAGGATTCACCAGAGACAGTGGTAAGCAAAACAGGCCGACTGACAAGTACACTGCTGAGGGGAGCAGCAGGCGGGTCAGGAGAGGCCTGCTGCACCATGTGATCACCTCCTGGGCCAGGGATTGAACTTGTGCTGAAGTTTCTTAGTGCTGTGCTTTAACCCACTGCGCCACCAGAGAGGGCCAAGGCATTATATTTATATAGTCAAAATAGTTTGTTCCCCTGTAATATTAAAAACCTGGAGAGCTAAACTTCAGGCTTAATATTTCTATGTTAATTCTTTATCTTTTGACACTTGATAGCGTGATGGTTTTCCAAATTCAGTTTAGGAAAATAGTCAACATAAACTGCATTTATACAACGCTTCAAGGTAATTAATAGGTATCTATCTGCAAATGAATTTTTTCTGATTTTAATGTCCCTGTGTACATAAACTTGGGATTTTATGTATTGTTTAGTTTTTTTTTATTATTACTTAGATTGTTAGATATTATTTTTAGATTTTATTTATACTTCAAGGTCAGTGAATTTTCCAGCTGAAAAAAAAAAATCAGTTTAGTTGTTTTAGAGATCAGTAGGACCTTCTTCCTAGAAATATGGAAGATGTCCTTCCATATTTACTTCAGGCTCTGTGACCCACCTTTTTTAAAGTTGGATTTCTCAGTCTCTGACAAATGCACATTCCTATTTGCAAAGATTTGCATTCCCCCCCTTCCTTTTCTCTAGTTAACTTTTTTTTTTTAAAGATTTATTTATTTATTCATACAGAACCGGGGTACAGGCCAGAGATGCGGAGGGTGAGAGGATTCACCAGAGACAGAGTGGGGAGCAGAACAGGCAGATCTATGAAGTACACTGCTGAGGGGAGCAGCGGGCGGGTCAGGAGAGGTCTACCACGCCATGTGGATCTCCTCCGGGGCAGGCGGGGATCGAACTCATGCGGAAGTGGCTTAAGCTTCTTAGTGCTGTGCTTTAACCCACTGTGCCACCAGCGAGGGCCATTCTAGTTAACTTTTAACTAGTATTTTCCTGATGTTTCTGACTCCTCAAGTGCTAAAAACTGAGTAACAGTATTATCTCAGGTAGTTGCAAATCTGATCTGGTTTATATTTTCTAGCTTAGTTTTCCATGGGAACACTTATATTAACTTAAGAAAAACTGCTATAAATCTGATACAATGAAGATATATTTAAAATATAGTCACTGTGAATATTTTCACTGTACTTTAAAGACATTTTCTATTACTGGTACATTTTCATTGTAATTTTTTTTTTTTTAAGGGAAGGGAGGAGTTAGGGTAGGTTGAACAGTTACAAAGGGTGGTGCTTTCTTTATGCTGAGATTTATTTCCTTGGTCATCCTGTATTTATTTACCTGTTATTCCCATCTGAATCTTCGTATTTCTGGGCACATCAGTTAATCAGGTACCACAGGTGGGAGTGAACATACCATAATTCTCAGGGTAGAAATAGTCAGGATAGTGACTGGTTTGCAAATCCTTGACCACCTTCCTTCACTCCTTCCCCAGGATGGAAAGGCCAGTAGTGACAAGTGTGCTTCTGTGTACACCTATGTGTATGCATCTGTACAAGTATGAGCAAGCTGTTGCTGCTTTGGCTGGAGGTTTAGTCTCTGGAGCGTCCATGAATCAACCCCCACTAGTTGAGGTCTCAGAAAAGCACAGTGCTGTCACAGTGGTTTCCTGGTCAGACTGACAAAGGGCTGGGGCCCCCTTTTTTTACTTCCCACTTATTTTGTCCAATTCAGTGAATTTGACTCTTCCTTTTCCTGTTAATCATCCTCCTCCCCGACTGTGAGGGAGGATGAAGATGATTACAGAGTGGTTGATTCTGACTTGACCTTAGATGAACACACCTATGTAAATGCTCATGTTCTCTTGTCCCCAGTTATGCCTTAAATCTCTCTTTCTGATCAACGCGACCTTTTTGATATTTAAATGCATGATGTATTGATATTGTTTCTTGTTTACCTACTATGATGTTTTTATAGTTTAAAATGTTTTTCCCTTACTAGGACTG